TGTTTTATCCCAAGGTCTTGTTTCTGATTGATCTTGTATCTGTATCCTAAAGCAAGGCAAGAATTAGCCAACATGATGCCAACTGTTGTTCATTTCAGGCATTAAGGAATAAGCACACAGGCAATGACTCCAGAAGTGTGTGACATTAAATTACCTTTTACCACAAAAGGGGAAGTGTTCTAAGAAATATTATTGGTAATGACTGTAATCTTCAAACCCAGAGCAGTGTTTATCTAGATTGCCCTGACTCAATTCTCATTCTTATTCCATTTTGAGCTTTTAACTTCTAGCAACACAGTCTTTGTAGATATAACTCTAAACTATTTTACAATGTTACATTATGGTTCAGTGGCCTATTCTCTTGATAAAGCTGTGCAGAGATGGTTCTAAAATTAATTAGGAGTTTCCCATTGTCTACCCGTATTAAGAAAAGCAAAGCAGATCACTCAAAGAAGCCAAATGTGCTACACAGTAAGCTCATGAGGTGGGAATGAAATAAATACATATCAAGGCATGGTATAAATAAAGTAAGTAAATAAATACATTATTTAAATTGTGTGGTGCCAACAAACACTTGCTATCTGCAGTGTCATTATTCTATGACAATTATTACACATCACAATTTTTGCAGCTCTAGAAATATATTAAAGTCTTTACTAACAGATGGCTTAGAAATACTTAAGGCAACAAAATGTGCCTTAAACAGCAATGTAATGGCAACACATGATCTACATATTCTGTGTTTAATGCTACACAATCTGGATACCAAATCTATTTGGAAGCAAAGACAAAAACCTTTCCATTGGTACCAGTAGAAAACACACTTGCTTTTTTCTACTTTGTAATCATTCAACACAGAAAAAAGATGCACTTTACTTCATGTGTCGATGAAACTTAGATAATTAGTTTAATCAGCACTGATGAGGCTTTTAATATCTTTCTAAATTAAATCAACTTCTAATGCTGATGCCTGTATTATTAGCCAATAGAGAAAGTTTTTTCTCTTTTTAAAATGAACACCCAGACCCATTTGTTAAAGCAATATTGCAAAACCCCAATGATTGTGTTAAAGCTGTTCCTCAGAGCAGTTATAAATGACACATGAAAGCACAAACTTGGGGGGAAACCCCTTATAAGTCATAGCTAAAATTGTAGGTCAAAGAATCCAAAATGTAATATTTTCCTCTGATCCAGGGCATCCCGAGGAACCCAATTTTCAGCTCCACTACAGTATAGTGGGCCATGTACAGGAACATGAATGATTCCCTGATACATTTTAACTCTTCAATGATGTTGTGTCTTTTCTGCGTACTTCACTTTTGTGCATTTGATTATTCAGGAATTTGTCCAGCAGAAGTTATCTACAGAGTCCTGCTGGAGGGCCTAGAGATTTTTAGAAAGAAGACTTCTCTAGGTATTTATAGCTCATCCAGAATAAATTGATTGGAAGTTGACCACAGAGGCCAGATATCCCATGCCTTGAGTAGGAACATATTAAAAGCAAATGGTAATTCATAAAGCAGTCCATCCTCGAGGTGCTGCTGGATTCATCCCAACCCTTTTCTTTTGTTGTTATGTTGAAACATACATAACTATTTCTCTGAAAATATTTTTAAAGGACACTTTCAAAAAAGCCCCAAACCCACTTTTCATAAAAATCCTAGTCATTGGTAATAATAACAATTTTAATGCAACAGAACCGGACTGCACTAGAACCATGTGATATTTCTTTGTTCTGCTATTAGAGCTAAGGTGACTAAGCTTGAAATTATCTCACTATTTCCCCAATTCACTAGATTCCCCAATTAAGAGGAAAGTTTAAAATATGCTCTGATTGATTAGGTTACTTGAAATCACTAGCATTTTTTGTGGGATTCCACCCTCTTTTCCTCAGGTTCTTTGGGCATCTTTGCTAACTGACATCAAGGGACAAAAATAACACTTTCGAAGGAATCACTCTTAAAATGTGCTTTCCTAAATCTAATAGAAATACAGTACAATCTTGCTCATCCAACCTTCGCTTATCCAATGTTCTGTATTATCCAACGCAGTCTGCCTCCCACCCGGATCCACAGCTATTTCAATACATTGCTATGTTTTGGTGCTAAATTCATAAATACAGTAATTACTACATAGCATTACCATGTGTTGAATTGCTTTTTCTGCTGATTTGTTGTAAAACATGATGTTTTGGTGTTTAATTTGTAAAATCATAATATAATTTGATGTTTAATAACATCTCCATAATCCATCCTTATTATTCAACATTTTCGGTTATCCAATGTTCTGCCAGCCTGTTTATGTTGGATAAGTGAGACTGTACTGTAACCTCCATGCCATTCCCTGAATATTCCACAGTCCAGTCAAGTACTAATGTCTAAAACAATAAATTAATTACTGGTAGCTTAACCAATTAAACTATTTCAGTTATTATTGTTCATGTTAGTAGACTAATTTCCAATTTCTAATGGTTAATATTATTTTTAAACCTAACGTTCCATCCTCTCAGTCAGTGGTTCTTAACCTGTGGGTGCCCAGTTGTTTTGGCCAACAACACCCAAAAATCCCAGGCAGTTTACCAGCTGTTAGGATTTCTCGGAGTTGAAGGTCAAAACATCTGGGGACCCACTGGTTGAGAACCACTGCTCTTAGTGATAATGTGGGCCAGAGCGGTTTGCACCACAGTCAGAAATTCAATCCATTCGATTTTTTTAAATCACACTAAAAACTCTATTTCCAGACAACCTAATATAGCCATGTCGCTAGTAACAGAATTATCTTCCTGATCATAGATATTACAAAAATCCTATGTCTATGGGAAAAACAAAGATTTAGTACTCAGCTAGTTAGAAGAGAGCTAGAACAACATTCCGATTTTGTAACACATAATTCTAAGTATTACTTTGAAACAAGAAAGAACTTTCCCAAATTGTAATTATAAGAACAAGTAACTAGCTGGGAGTTTAGGACTAACAGCTTTGAAAGCATACCTCACCATGCGGTAATATTTTCCTGCAATAAGCTAATGGGATCATCATTTTAGCCAATTTTAGGCAATTACAAGGCATATTCTTCTTTTTTCTCCCTTTTTTCTTCTCACTCTTAGCAATGCTCTCAGGAATTAATGCTATTTTCCTTGGCAAAAGTTCATTATAAGCTCAATCTTTATGGTATGAATGAAAGTTTAGACGTAACTAAAAACAGCTCTGTCACCCTAGAATAGATAATAGACTAAATGATGATTCAGTTTTACCACTTCTACTATTAGCTCCTTTCTTTAAGAAGATAGAAAATTAGTCATTCCTAGATGCATTCATTACTAAAATCTTTAAATTGATGCCAATAGGCACAAATCTAACAAAGGGATAGACCACAGTTCTTTACCACTGAAAGTTATCAATTATTAACAATGTGAATGAATTATTTAAGGACTGTACATCAGCAATCTAAAAAATTAATGTCAACTTTACAAAAGTATGAAATGCATGTTCCACAGTGATTTAATCTTCAGCAACTGTCAGATCTTCAGTAAAGAGTCAGCATTATCCAGAGCCTTTTAATCTTAGTAATAAACTTAGATTCAACTAATACAACTCCTGTATCCACCGAATGTTACATGTAGTCATCCACAGTTTCACTTATTGACTTAGGGCCTCCTATACATGCCACACCCTCTAGGTACTTGAAGCATTCCGACCAATGAAAATAATACGGTTCACTATTACCCACAGTTTCATGTATTATTTCCAAAGAATAATACAGACAGATAAATGTGCTAATAAAAATGTTCCTATATACAAAGTGCACACACCAGAAACCAACTTAATATGTCTAATGTTTAAAAAAATACAAGACCAGGACATTAAGAGTCTCCAAAATATAAAAGCTTTCCAAAATATAAAAGAGACTGGTTTGAGACTTAGAAACTAAAGAAAAATCTACTTCTACTTAGGTAAATTAACGTGGGCATTATATGATGTAATACCTCAAAATGAAAGAGGTATAACGACAGTTAGTTTATACTAAATTAGGAAGATATACACAATACTGAGACAGGCTCCCAAGAGAAGAGGAAAGGTGGAAGGAATGGGCAATTCATTGCAAAATATGGTATTTACAGTATGGCTTCATTGAGAAACTACCTTGAGGAATCTGTTTCTGGCAAAACAAAGAAAAACTCAACAACAACCACAAATCCCATTCCATTCCACACTGAGACTATGATGCATTGTTCTTAGGAAATGGACTCACTGGTAAGAATTATCTACAGCAGGAGTTCTCAAACTTTTAAAGCTGCTGACCCCTTTTTGAAGGAAAAGTTTCTCATAGAGACCTAAGAAACTCTTGGGACACTGGGGCTGCATTGCATTTTAAAATTTGATAGATGGGCCAGGGCAATAGCAGATGACTGGAGAATGTCTGTGTAAACAACTGAAAAAAGCATGAACAAATTCTTATAGTGCAAAAGAAAGAAAGAAAGAAAGAAAGAAAGAAAGACAGAAACACAGAAATATAGAAATACAATATTTAAAATGAAGAACAATTTTAACCAACATAAACTTAACAGTATTTCAGTGGAAGACCCCAGCGGCCATCTAGTCCAACCCCCTTCTGCGAGAAGGAAAAACACAGTCAAAGCACTCTCAACAGATGGTCACTCAGGGCAATAAAAACAACAACAACAGGAGCAGATGGAAGCCTAAGGAGAATGGAAGGCGCTTAAGAAGAAGAGGCTTTGTAGGCCATGGTGGTGGATACAGAGAGGCTACGCTGATGGAAGCAGGGCTCCACAAGCCACATGCTTCCTAGACTGGGGGGGGGGGGCAAGGGGGTATGGGGCCTTCACGAAGCCCCTGACTGTGCCTATGGCTCCGCAGAACACTGTCTGAAAACCAGTGCAGTACAATATGAATTTATGATTGTCTAATTAGGAAATACTACAATGATAATACAGAAAACAGTAAGCTCATCATGAAAGCAAACTTTTAAGAAGTACTTACGAAATCAAAGTCACCATCTTGAGGAACCTTCCAGTTATCAGGGAAGACATTCTTTGATATGTGGTACGATTCATGCATATTTTGATTGCAGTTTTCATGGCTTTTATTCTTGGAATCTTGTTTATCAAAGTAATCCATAAAGGATGGTCGCTGGGCCTGTGGTGATGTAGCATTTCCTAATTTGGAAATCAGAAAGTGGTAGTTAAAATTAGTAAATTACATAAATTATACCTCTGGTTTCTTTGCCAACAACCAGACCACTTTTATTAAAATTCATAACATGTTTTACATAGAGAAACAAGGTTGCGAACCCCTTCCTTCACAATGCTTATTTTTATCATCTTGCGGCAACACCAGAGGCACTCCAAGTGGCCAAATATTGTTCAAAGGACATTTAATCAACTAACTAGCTTGCAAATTTTGTGTTTTTTGTCTGTTTGTTAGTTTTGTTCTGTTAGAAATGTAATACAATTGTCTGGTTGCCCCTGACACGATAAATAAATAAAATAAATAAATCATCTTGAATATGGGGTCATTTACACAAGATTTTTTTTTAAGTTTAGTAAAAAAATAATCTCAGAATATGGAGGCCAGGGGATGAAAAGAGTGGACATCCAATGTTGCCAAACAATGTTCTCTGCCACTGGGTGGGGTTGATCCAACATACACCATGTCATATTGGCCCAGGTGTAATGGGTCAGTGCAGATCTACCCTCAGCTACATGCCAATGGTGCTAAGGAGGCCAGTTAGTGAATTATGAAGATGCATAATGGGACACCTGCAAATGTCTACCAGTACCTACCAATGCAGATTGGGACTCCATAACATGTGGCCCAACACATGTTGGGTCCTATCATGCATCCGTCCCAATGCACATCAGCCACTTTGCTCCTCTGCTCTCCTATATAGTGCCATAACAGAAGCTCCTTGCTGAATACTAACATTGCAAAATAGTTCATTTCTATTTCCCACTTACAAATTCATGTGTTAATTCTGACCTGAGGTTTCAAAAAACAATATAAAACATGATCTCAGTTCTTGTGGGTTTTTTCGGGCTATATGGCCATGTTCTAGAGGCATTTCCCCTGACGTTTCGCCTGCATCTATGGCAAGCATCCTCAGAGGTGAGGTCTGCTGGAACTGGGAAAATAGGGGTTTATATATCTGTGGAATGACCAGGGTGAGACAAAGGGCTTTTGTAAGTTGGGCTAGGTGTGAATCTTTCAACTGACCACCTTGATTAGCATACAATGGGCTGACTGTGCCTGGAGCAAACTCTTCTTGAAAGGTGATTAGATGTCCCTGCCTGTTTTTCTCTCTGCTGTTTTTGCTGTTGCAATTTTAGAATTTTTTAATACTGGTAGCCAGATTTTGTTCATTTTCATGGTTTCTTCCTTTCTGTTGAAATTGTCCACATGTTTGTGGATTTCAATGGCTTCTCTGTGTAGTCTGACATGGTGGTTGTGACATGTAGTCTGACATGGTGGTTTCGCCTGCAAAATGCTGGAGTGGTCCAGCATTTTTGTGTTCTCAAATAAAATGCTGTGTCCAGGTTGGTTCATCAGGTGCTCTGCTATGGCTGATTTCTCTGGTTCGAGTAGTCTGCAGTGCCTTTCATGTTCCTGGATTCTTGTTTGGGCGCTGCGTTTGGTGGTCCCTATGTAGACTTGTCCACAACTGCATGGTATACGGTAGACTCCTGCAGTGGTGAGAGGATCCCTCTTGTCCTTTGCTGAACGTAGCATTTGTTGGAAAGATTCACCTAGCCCAACTTACAAAAGCCCTTTGTCTCACCCTGGTCATTCCACAGATATATAAACCCCTATTTTCCCAGTTCCAGCAGACCTCACCTCTGAGGATGCTTGCCATAGATGCAGGCGAAACGTCAGGAGAAATGCCTCTAGAACATGGCCATATAGCCCAAAAAAACCCACAAGAACTGAGTGATTCCAGCCATGAAAGCCTTCGACAATACATAAAACATGATCGTTTGATATTCTGCTTTGATGTGAACCTAGCAACCAGCATCTCCATAATTTTGACAAAATGGAAAGTTGAGGTTCATTAAGTTTCATAGGTTTAAAGTAGATTCCATTTTTTTCTTAAAAGCATTTGTTAAACATATAGCCTACGTAAAGCTATAATCATGAATACTAATTATACAACCCTTAATTATGTTCTAGAACAGTGGTTCTCAACCTGGGGTCCCCAGATGTTTTTGGCCTACAATTCCCAGAAATCCTAACAGCTGGTAAACTGGCTGGGATTTCTGGGAGTTGTAGGCCAAAAACATCTGGGGACCCAAGGTTGAGAAGCACTGTTCTAGAACTTTTGTGGATATGGAGCAGGAATAGGATCTGCACATAAGTAGGAAGTGTCTGTACTTGAAGGCAAGGTTTACTATTTTTATTCATTGAAAACAAATCTGAAAACAATTCAGAATAATCATTTAATGTATATCTTCCAATAAAATATATAATCTTTCTCTGAATAAATATTAAGGTCATATTAAATAGTAATGTACTTCTAATAAAAATGATTACAAAGAACCTTCCTTCTCTGGTGACTTGAACTCTGAATTAAATCATTAAAATCAAATATTTCAGAGAAGCAATTGGATTCAAATCACGTCAACCCTGAAGGAGAAAAGGAGCTATATTTGAATCATCTGCACTTTAGAACATGATGAAAAGAGACAATGGCCAAAGATTCATTTGCTTTCTCTCCTGCCATCTATACCAAATTTAAAAATTAATGAACGGGATACTAAAAGTTGTTTTTAGTACTGTTTGTAATAACATCCCTACTGTTACAAAAGCTATTGAACAAGAACATTATGCACACCTCTCAGCCGCTAATATGAAAATGGTAATAATGTTTAAGAACATAACTAGCCCATTTCAGATTCACACTGGCCCACTTCCAAGACAAACAGTACTAACAATGAAAAGTGACATGAGGGAGGGAATATTAAAACTGGTCCTCTATAAGGCTGCAAAACTATTTCAACCTTATAAGTGCCATCACTATATTTTACATAACACTGGGTATTATAGCTCCGCCTGATAATTTCATTAATTTCCAGCCTTCAGACTGCCTGACAGCTAATAACGCATATTTCAATAGTAGAATAATTTGAAATGAATGCTCAAAAACCATTAGCAGCACCGATTTATCATAGTACATTACATTAAATAATTATACTTCCCAAAGAAACAATTTGTAATTTTTTTTGACAAGCCCACCATTAAGAAACTGCCACCAAAAGAATAACAACCTGGATGCCCAAACAAGCTAAACAATCTCACTGGTGTCAAATTGAGCAGCAAAGTCCTAAAAACGAAAGAGTGATTCTAAGGACAATTTTATTTTCTGGAACAGCAAGACAGAATCCTGGGCTCACAAGGAAACTGTAAATGAATTACTCCAACATATGTTCTGGTCTAATCTTACAAACTATTTAAACGTTGTTTGGAAGACAGCTTTCCTAAAAATAGCTAACATTACTACAGGAAGTGAAAGTCATGCCTCACTGACTTCTTGATATTCATTTCTATCACTAGAATAATACACCGTGGAATTCTGCTGACATCACTTGATCGTGATCACAAAATGTAAAGTTTCACATTAAAGGCTAATCTCTGACTTGCTAAGGTTGCTCAATCAATTCCAGCACTGGTTTATTCAGAATAAAATTTGGGACAAACATATTCACTAAAAGAATTTCCAACTAAAAATGTTTTGATGGCGGTGGGTGGGTGGGTACTTTTTAGGTGAAGACCAACGCTTGTAGCTCTAACACTGCCATGTTTGCAAATGAAATTTCCTTGCTAGTATCCCTGAAAAGTGTTGAACTCCGTCAAGAACAGTGGGAATTGTCACTTTAAGGCAGAGAACATGTTTTGCATGCAGAAACTCCTGGATTCAGTCTCTGGCAGGTATAGATAAAAGAATGGGAAATAAAAGGGGAGGGGAAAATATATCTGCTTGAGATCTTGAAGAGCTATTTCCTTGGCGTAATAGATGTTGTTGTTATTGTTTCTGCTGCTGCTGCTGCTGTGTGCCTTCAAATGGTTTCTGAATTATGGTGATCCTAAACCAAACCTACCAAGCCACAATCCTAAATTAATTTATTATATACTGTCAACATACAAAATCTCTGATAGCGAAATTATATAACACAGCGCCAAAATATTAAATTCAATGTTCATTTGTGCTCTCTGGAATGGTTTTCACCTTTTCCTCCATATACAATATGTGCTTTGTGTTCCTCCTGTTTTAATGATACTGAAAAATAAAAGGTAGCAAGCAAGGGGGAAGGCAAGAAAATGGCATACAGAAGCAGCCACTTTCATCATGAAGGAACATTAAAAAGCCTGAAAATCTGAAGTGTATAAAACTTTTTAAATACTTTGTGACAACACTGAAAACAGAGAAGGATTTATAACAAGATCAGTAGCAATATTTAGTAAGACAGTCTTCCAAATTAAAGCCTGATGTAACTGTGGGAAATTAAGGGCAGCCTGGCAAACTTTCTGGTCATCACTGAAAGACTCAACTGCCTATTTGAAAATTTGATTTGTTTCCCTCGCAAAATAGTGCATCCTTTTTCTCACCAACTTTTGATATCTTTGATTTCAATTGTTGAGCAACATACATCTCCATTCTCAAAAAAAATCCTAAGACAGAAAAACATAGTATTATTTATTGCTAGGTTGCATATTAAATGTTAGGCCAAGCTTTGTTCTCCTCCAGATCTCAGCTCCATTTGGGAACAAATCCCTCTTTTGTTAAGGAAAAAAATATGTTTTAACTTATTTTTTTGTCACAGAGCCCAGGGGCCTCAAAGTATGGGTGCCTATAAATAACAAAAAAGAACTTGTTAATGTTACTTATTTTGTCCTTGAGCAGGAAAATTTGGAGAATTTGAAGAACATATACACAAAATTTAATGTTAGCAAAGCTTTTTAAAGATGTCAAATATTTTCACACTGCTAAGAGAGGAAGAAAATTCCCTTTCTGACCAAATACATTTATTTTTGCAGTTGTGAGACTTTCTGCTAGAATGTCATTTTAAAATGTACTACCCAACAATATATACACTTTAAGAACTATGTAAAGAGACTGAGCCAAAATGAAGTCCCAGTTTGTAGGGGCCTGCTGTCTTCGAAATATTACAAAGACCACCAGATTCTGAATACTTCCAAATGTTGCCTCTCTGACCTGCATTTGTTTCCACTAGAATGCAGCTCTACCAACATGATTAATAAAATGCTTTCCCACAATGCTATATACAATCAGATACAGTACTGAACTAAGAAAAATCTGCAGGGTTTGAAACGCGACAGATTTATGAGTCACTGCATTTCATATGTTGATTGGAACCTAAAAGAACTATAATTGGTACAAAATGTGGGATTGACTGTCTGCAACCTGCATAAATAGTTCAGAGAAAATATGCCAAGGGCAAACAATACAGATGAGCTGTAGCCTTTTTGTAAGCTTTCTGCTGGCTTCTGGCTTGTCACTACTGCAGACAGAGCGTGGATGGGCTATTGCTCTAGAATAGAAGAACCCAAAGGATGCTCACTGAACCCTTAAAGCTACAAAAGATGAAAGATGTTGCATTAATGAGATCTCATTCTTCTTCTGGTCCTTACTTCCCCTACCTGCCATGTCATGGCACACAAACTCATCTTCCTTGTACAAGTAGTGTAGGGGACAGAACTAAGGAAGAAAAGGCTCCAGCATCTTCTACTATCTTGAAGTTTTCTGACCAATACATCTCCACACTCTACCCTGGCAGACCAAAACAAACTAGCTGGTGTGTTTTAAGGCCTACATTTCCATGCCTCATGGTTTACTCAACCCATTTTAAATGTGGAAGAAGGGATTGTATATTTGTTTGTTTCCATTCTGAAGCTCTGTATTATAAAACATTCTGAGCTGTACAGTATTTATTTCATATACAAAATGGCCTGGAAACCTATGTGTATCTCTATAGTAAAGACACTCCCCTCCAGAGCAATCTTTTCATTGTTCTCCTTAGTACCCTTAAATTTTCTCGGCACAAAAATAGCTTAATTACGCCTTATAAATACCCTTCCACATATGTTAAATTTGATTGCTTCAAGAGCTGGGTCATAAAACTTGCCATTAAACACAATGTTTATAAAGGAAATACCTATTTCAGCATCAAAGACAAATTAAAACATGTATTAAGTGTTTAATGGGATGAATCATACTACTCAGAGGCATCACTCATCAACAGAACTATTTATTTTCTTTTACTTGAAGGTAAAATTTCTGGTCTTCCATACATTAACCACAACAAAATTAATAAAACATTGACTCGAGTAGCCAGCTCCAGTTATACAAGTCAAAACTTGACTGTTTTTAAGATACAGAAAAGTGCTTAGAACTTGTTAGACTTTAATACAGCATAAAGTTGCCTCAGTTTATCCCAGGTGTAGACTGTACAGTTCTAACACATAACAAGACAACTATCAGAGGGTTATTTTGCATTTCCAGTACATGCTGCATATAGCCTGCAATTATGACCTGAGTTCAATTACACTACTTGATTTTATCTTATCTATAGCTGGGATATTGCAAAAAGCGCACTATTCTATTCAGTTCAAAAAAGGTGAATGTGTTGAAAGAAGTCCTGATTTCATCCAGCACCACATTTATTCGAAAGATTACTTTGATTTAAGAGACTTCAATCACTATTTGAAGGCACTTAATATTAATGGATGCAGAATGCAAGCAGTCAACATGAAAATACCTAAATGAGACTATTCATCTGAGTTAGAGTAGGTGCAGTGAATTATTGGCAACTCAGGAGATCAACACTTATGTAAGTTGCCTTAATGTTTGTCTACCTCGGGCAAGGACAAACTTCAACTCTCCAGGTGTTTCGGATTTCTACTCCCTCAATTCCTAACAGTTGGTAAGATGGCTGGGATTTCTGGAGTTGAAGTCCAAAACACCTGGAGGGCCAAAGTTTGTCCATGCCTGGTCTATCCAATGGATCTAGGGGCTGGATTTAAATCCAAATGACAAAAATGACAAAGAATCAGATCAATCACATTAGTAAAAAATACTTCCTGAAAAGAGTATTTGATTACATCAATGTCCTTTTAGTAAAAAAAACAAAACGAACAAAACAAAAAAACCTACTGAAAACCCTAATTTATCTTCAGACATAATTTCTAGTTATCAATTTGTATGGCTATCCTGTAATATCTATATAACACTGAATTTTTGGCCAAATTACTAGCCATARATTCCCTGATGAAATGACGTAGTCTGTGTAGCACATACAATAGAGTCTTGCTTATCCAACCTTTGCTTATCCGATATCTTGCTTATCCGACCTTTGRGTCCGATATSCTACGCTCTTATATAACCCCCCCCCTTTCCCACAACATTTCTCCTTCAATTAAATGAGCACTCCCCAACTCTCTCTCCATTCTCAAGAAGTGAAAAAGGCAAGACGAGGAGGAGGAGGAAGAGGGAGGAAAGGGGAAAAAGAGGCAGGACTGGAAGCGGAAGCATCCTCCCTCCTTCCCTCTGTGATTTTCACGTTTCTCTTCCGCATCCGGGCACTTCCTGCTGGGCAGCTCTAGTCCTGAGGTGTTACCTTGCCTTAACCCTCTGAGTCCCTGTTGTTAGTATTCTAGGTGTCTAGCACCGCATTGGACAGGTAACAGTAGGAGACTTCGTATTATCTGACATTTTATTTATCCGACATTCTGTTGACTCGTTTATTTCAGATAAGTGAGACTCTACTGTACATGACCTTAATAAAAACATTCCATAGATCTATACCACATGTTTTCCCAGTTATCCAGCATTAAAATATCATGGAAGTAACCTTTTAAAAACAACCTTTTAAAAACATAGATTAATTACCATAATACAGTATAAAGCATGAGTCCCAACGGGGAGATGGGGTGGGATATAAATAAAGTTTTGTTGTTTTGATGATGTACAACTAATGCTTTGAAGACAACAATCCAGCAGTCTTAAGTCATCTTGCAGAAGAAACCCAGGTGTTTGTGGAATTTTGTTAGTTGGTGATTTCTTTTTTGAAGTTCATGCAAATAAGCCAGAAAAGAACTATTGGCAGGGAAACGTAAGAACAAGTCAAGTACAAATATCTGCACAAACTCAGAATGAAGACAATATCTGTATGAACTAGTTCTTTTCCCAGGATGTCAACACATGCATTCTTTTACAAAATCCACAACATAATTGGCTTCAAGTATGTGTTTATGACGACTTCAAAAGTGCAGAATAGAATCTGTAAAAGGCATTAAACAGAATGGAAAATGGAACATACTTTTCATGGTTCCATCTTCATCTTCATCTTCATCGTCGTCATCACTGTTTATCACCATGGTCCCCAGGTCTGATTCCAACATTGTACTATTGTGCTCAATCATTGTTTGAGCACTCTCACTCATTGTACTAGTAGCCCTCATGGTGCCTGCACTCTCAGAGCCAGTCTTTACCATGGTATGGGAATCCAGCTCATCTTCCTCCTGCAAAGCAACATTTAAACCAGATACTTAAATTTCCAAAAACACATTGACTTTAACAGCATAAGAACCTTTAATGATAAATTTAGTATTTTCTATACCTTTGCTTGTCCTGCTTCCCATCACATTTAATTATGATGCAATGAAACATGTGTTCTGAGATAATATTTCTCCTTTATCACATTGTACTTATGACATATTGAAGTTACATTAAGGACTTCCATGCTGCTACTATTCTCCTTCCTTACCCACACCAAAATCAAATAAATGTGGCTTTTTTACTTCATACAGTACCTCATTGTCTGTGTCTCAGTGTATCTTGCTCCTTCTGGAAATGTTAGGCAAACAGAGGAGCGGAAATGACGTTTGAGGAATGCAAGTATGTGAGTGCAACTGTAATGTAGTGGTTTTAGTGTTAGAGTATGACTGTGGAGACTAGAGTTTGAAACCCTGCTCAGCCATGGGAACTCACTGGGTGACCTTGGACAAATCACACTCTCTCAGCCTCAGAGACAATCTCACTCTGAATTTTGCAAAGAAAAAAAACCTGTGATAGCTAGGCTCAGCATAGGGTCCTCGTAAGTTGGAAATGATTTGAAGGCACACAACTACAATGTGCATGTAAATATATGTATATAGGGTGCTTTGTATTGCATGGTCTCTGGACACTTTACAATAAAAATCAACTGCAATAACTTAAAGTATCAGAAAATAAATTTTTTCAACAATACAAATAAAATCCAGAAACATCAAGCAATACATTTTTTTAAATCTTTACACGTGGGATAGTATCAAAGCTATATTGTAAAAAAGCTATATTTTAATCTAGCATTAACATTAGACATCAGCACTAATCAGGCCTTTAAGGTGAGGCAATTCCATAAGTGGGTTTCCAGGGCTGAGAAGGCCCTCCCACATCTTCTCTCTCTATGTATGCTGCTCTCACAGCAGATCTTAGTCATTGGGCTACTAGACCACTGTTCTCACTGACACAGCCAGCATTGCAATGGTGAAAAACGAGAATTGTAGTTCAACAACATATGAAGGACCACCTGTTTCCCAAATCGTGATCTAGATAACGCTTCATATCTCAGCCATTTCGCCTCCTAACATCCAAGCACACAATTCCTATGCAGCACTATCAAAAACATGAGAGCAATAGCATACCGAGAAGATTGCCCAATACAGAAACATAACAGATGATCTGCTTTACACTAGTCCTGTTTACTTTGCCTGGTGGCAGTTCGCCAAGGCCTCAAGCCATGATCTTTCCCAGACCTACTACCCAAGATCTTTTCAAATGGACATTAAAAGAACTGATTTGCCAACCTTTTACATAGAAAGAATGTACCTCATGCTATAGTTTCTCTACTTACCAAACAAGGACCCAGGAGATCTAAAACTTACTCAATATCACTTCAAAAACCATCTCAGTTGGCACAGTCAACTTCTCTCATTTGTATGTACTTAAAGGGTTTGCTAAGCTATGATAAAGGGAGCAAGAAGAAAACCTGTTGATGTTTTGTAGAAAAATATCTGCTGAGCAGATGCTTTGAGACTATGGAACAGAGTTAATTCCAGCAAAGGATACAAAAGCCTTTCCAATCAGTGGCAGTAATGTGCCAGGAATGTAAAACAGAGAACTGATGAAAATCCAGTTCATGAATCATAAAATCCATATGGAATAGAAATATTTGAAAACATTATTAGGAAATCCTACTCTCTTTCTGAAGTCATATTTAGAGGATGTGCACAATATCCCGGCTATTTAAAGACTTACATGCTGTTCAATGCCTGAAGTCCTTTTACAAGGGCACATTCTACACCACACCAAAAAGAAAGAGAATGCAAAAGAACTGCTTGTTGATTGAATAAAAGCTTCCAATTAAGTGTTTAATTTTAGGTGCCTTAGTAAAAAAAGCAAATTCTTTGATTTTTAAGACTCCTTTGAGGGTGAAATAAGAGCAGCCAAATTTGCTTTCATGCACTAGCATAAAGTTTAGAAAAACAGCTTTACATATTACAATGGCTTAAAAAAAATCTAAATACCACTAATAAGCGCCATGTTCCTCATCATGGAGAAAATATTCCAGCTCTCCTGGGGAAGAGGAGAGCAGTCATAGGAAACAGTGACTGTGTCCTTTCACAACCACGACACAAAAGAGCACTCCTTTTGTTTACTACAAGTTTGCAATAACAAGTCAAATTGTGCTTAAGAATTTACAGGAATTGATATTTTTGAAGAGTTCTTTTTTTCTAATCTGCTGAGAATGTTGGAAAACATTTCTCATAAAGCGGGTTAAACCCAATGATAGCTTTGAACTTTGCCTTGGGCAACTCAAGGCATGGATATTCAAACAACTTTCCTACAGTTAACTGTGTTTCCATTAAAATGGAAAAGGGAATCATACACCTGGGAGCGGAGTTCCATACAGACCTTGGGGACCCATTGACCCTAGCAGTTACCCATTTTTTCCTCAACCTTTGTTCAGTCTCAGACCCCTCAGGACACCACAGAAATGTGCTGTTTTGGGAGCTCCCACACATAAAATATGAAAAAGCCTTTCATCAAAAGATGTTAAGATGACCAGACATTTTCAAATGATGGCTACAATGGCATCACTGCCGTCTTTCATAGCCCTACAAAGGAGAGTGGAGGAAGTTGGGGTACCTGCTTGGCTGCAATGCATGCCTTCACCTGCTGTAAAGTTCCTCCTCAGAGTTGAGTAATCCCTTGGAATACTATACTGGGTTATCACCCAAATATCATTTTCTATTTCCCTGACCTTTTCTGACCAACTTGTTAACATCCCTAACCATTATCCAACAAAACAATTCTAATGTAAACATTCATTAGACAAAATTTCATTTTCTTACTTTTTTTGAAACTCCACAATATTAAAATGGTGGGGGTTTTGGTCATGTTAAGAGCTTAAGTATTATATTATTTTTAACATTAACTGTTAACTGGTTAAAAACACAGTTAACAGTTGAAACTGTATGCAAAAATAATAAACTTTTTGAATGTCTGGGAAGGAAAATAGTGATGGTGGCAGCCAAAACATGAAGCAGTGTTTACCTTTTGCCATAGAATGACCCTTAAGATATTCACAGACCATGTCAAAATCATTATTTTTGGTCCCAAAATCTGCCCTTTATCTGTATGTCAAGTCAACCTATACATGAGTATGTATTATAATCTCTACACTAGATGTGGGCAACATGCCAATATTTTTTCAGTCTCTCCAGAATTGCATAGGCTGCAATTCCTTTGTCAATAGAAGGGTCAATTGCCCATTCTGAAAATCTTCAAGGTGATGAAACTGATCAGTCACTTTCAACTCTTCGTGACCTCATGGACCAGCCCACGCTAGAGCTCCCTGTCAGCCGTCACCACCCCCAACTCCTTCAAGATCAAGCCAGTCACTTCAAGGATAACATCCGTTGTCCTTGGTCCGTCCCTCTGCCTTTTTCCTTCCATTTTCCCCACCTTCAGTAGCTTCTCCAAGCTTTCCCGTCTTCTCATTATGTGGCCAAAGTACTTCATCTTTGCCTCTAATATCCTTCCCTCAAGTGAACAGTCAGGCTTTATTTCCTAGAGTATGAACTGGTTTGATCTTGTGGGCCAAGGCACTTTCAGAATTTTCCTCCAGCACCACAGTTCAAAAGCGTCTATATTCCTTCGCTCAGCCTTCCTTATGGTCTAGCTCTAGCAACCACAGGTTACTATGAGGAATACCATTGCTTTAACTATGCGGATCTTCATTGCCTGTGTGATTCTCTACTTTTCACTATTTTATTGAGATTGGTCACTGCTCTCCTCCCAAGAAGGAAAGGTCTTCTGATTTCCTGGCTGCAGTCTGCATCTGCAGTAATCTTCACTCCTAGAAATACAAAGTCTGTCACTGCTTCCACATTTTTTCCCTATATTTGCCAGTTATCAATCAGTCTGGTTGCCATAATCTTGGTTTTTTTTAAAAAAAAAAAAAAATGTTTAACTGCAACCCAGCTTTTGCCCTTTCTTCTTTCACCTTGGTTAGAAGGCTCCTCAGCTCCTTATCACTTTCAGCCATCAAAGTGGTATCATCTGCCTATCTAAGGTTGTTAATGTTTCATCCAGCAATTTTAACTCCAGCCCTGGATTCATCAAGCCTTACACATTGCATGATGTGTTCTGCATACAAGTTGATTAGGTTGGGTGAGAGTATACAGCCCTGCCATACTCCTTTCCCAATCTTGAACCAGTCTGTTGTTCCGTGGTCTGTTCATACTATTGCTACGTGGTCATTATACAGATTCCTCAGGAGGTAGACAAGGTGACTTGGTATCCCCATACCACCAAGAACTTGCCACAATATATTATGATCCACACAGTCAAAGGCTTTAGAATAGTCAATAAAACAGAAATAGATGTTTTTTCTGGAACTCCCTATCTTCCTCCATTATCCATATTCTAGATACCTTATATAATTCCTTTCACCGTTGAATGTTAAAATAATGCTTTCTCAAAACCAGAAGTAGACCTGCACCTAATTGTTTCTTTTTGTTTGCTTACTTGTTTCTCTTTCTCATTTTTGACATTTTTTGGCATTCTGGATTTGATTCCAGGGTAGAAAATTAGCCCTCAGACATCCCAAAGTTGAGAAATCCCTGCTCTAAATGCAGACAAGTTGGGTAACTTTTTTTGCTCTAGTTCCCCACACTAAAATTGTACAAAAATCCACATTCATTTAACATTAATTTTAATAGAAGGCACATTATGAAATATATTTGTTTGCATATATAATTACAATAAACAGCAATATAAAATTACACTATACATATTCTTCTAAAATGATCAATAATACATATAATCACTACTTTTTTCTTTCCATTTTCTTTCCAAAACTCAATTTCTAGGTGTTACATTTTTTTGTTTCTCTGCTCTGGTAGTGGCAGAAGGCAAAATCTCCCCCTATTTTTCTTTCATATGCACAGCCACAAGACATGGAGTGATCCGCTTT